GAGACTTGGCAAGGGCATTATTGAAGGATCTGACTGAGTATGTGATGGAGCAAATCCCTAGGGGGGAAAACACCGATGCTGACTTGCTATCAAAATTGACGCAAGCAGCCCCGGAGCATGTGTCCAAGCTGGCCAGGATTGAGACGCTGGAGAAAGCCAGCATTGAAGGGTTTTCTGTTAGCATGATAGAGGAAGATGGACAGCCCAATCCAGATCGAGTGGAGCCAGATGATATTTGGATGGATGACTTGGTCAGGTACTATATGACCGGGCAATTCCCTGAGGATGAGGATAGGGTAAGAAAAGTAAAGTTGAGGGCTCCAAGATTCCAAATGCTTGATGGAAGGCTATACAAAAGGGCATTTGGCGGTCCGCTGCTGAGATGCTTAACCAGGGCAGAGGCGGAAAGAGTGATCGCCGAAGTTCATGAGGGTGTCTGTGCAGCCCACCAAATGTCCAGGACACTCGCACAAAGGATCATCTTGCTAGGTTATTTCTGGCCTACAATGAACCAAGATTGTGAGAAGTATGTGCAAAGGTGCAAGACTTGCCAGGTGTTCTACAAGTTTCCAGGAAGGCCTGCGACATATTACCACCCAGTTTCCAATGTTATTCCATTCGCAAGGTTTGGGATGGACATCATTGGAGCCTTCCCCCAAGCACAAGGGAGGAAGAAATATGTCATGGTTGCTATCGACTACTTCACAAAATGGGTGGAGGCCGATGCATATGCAACCATCACAACCAAGCAGTGCCAGCGCTTTGTCTGGAAGAACATCATCACTCGGTTCGGGTCACCCCAAAACATTGTGACGGATAACGGGCCTCAATTTCGGAATCCAGGATTCACCAAATACTTGGAGGACTTCGGGATTACTCACAACAAGGCTTCCGTGGCCTACCCGCAAGGGAATGGCCAGGTGGAGAATGCGAACCGCACAATAGTCGATGGGATCAAAAAGCGGTTGGGTGAGGCAGGAACGAATTGGTTAGAGGAGTTGCCACATATCATCTGGGCTTACCGAGTCACTTCGAGAAGGGCCACCGGGGAGACACCTTTCGTCCTTACTTATGGATGTGAGGCCAGACTACCCATTGAAGCAAAGATAATGACCTTCCGGGAAAATATCTATGAGGAGAAAGGGAATGAGGAGGACCATTTGGCAGAGTTGAACTTGTTGGAGGAAAGGCGGATGGTCGCTGAGGCTAAAATGATAGAGTACCAGCAAGCAGCCAAGGCCTACCATGATAACAGGGTAGGGCCTCGTTATTTTCAAGTCGGTGATGAGGTCTTGAGACGAAGGGAGGCCAGCAAACCGAGTGATGGTGGAAAGCTTGCGAAGAAATGGGAAGGTCCATATAGGGTCAAGGCAATATTACGCCCTGGGACATACAAGTTAGAAACAATGGAAGGTCAAGAGTTGGAAAGGTGCTGGAATTCCCACCACCTTAGAAAATTCTACCGATAGACCAAATTGGCAGGGCATGTATTTGTAATACCCCTTCGACGATAAATAAGAGATTTCTTCAATACTAGTGTTGCTGGGTCAGTAATACTAAACTAATGTCTTGATGTAAGAGGCAAGGTAAAAAAAAAGATAAATCCTTGAGATAGGGGCCTTGATGTTGAGGTATGGCCTTGAGATAGGCTGGGTCTGGAAGAGGACTCGCGTCCATACTTACATGGATCCCTACCAAATTTTCATTTGGATAGGGGCAAAAAGATGCCAAAGTAAAAAATGATTACCGTCTTGCATGAGCCATCCTTTGCGGATTGAAGGGTCTAGGGAAGACTAGAATTCACTTCAAACGCATAACATATGGACATGTAAGATTGGATGAGGGCTGGTTCTCACCGGCATACCCCCACGTGGGAAGATTGGGTTGGCTAGGTCAACCTAATGATTAGAGAATGGCACATTAAAAAACTTAAAACCTGGAAGAGG